GCCAGTATGTCTTTGGACTGTGGGAGGAAACCGGAGCACAGGAGGAAACCCACACAAACTCAGGGACAGCACGCAGATAGCACCCCAGGTCTGGAACTCAGTCCAGGGCCCCAGTGCTGCGAGGCAGCAATGCAAACTACTGCACCACCCAAATTAAAGAGTTGTAAGCAAAACTTGGCAAATTTATCCTCCTCCCTCCCCCCTAAACAAAGCATCAAGACACCTTTCTCCTTCCCAGGCCCCACATTAGGAAACACTCCCCACCTCAGCCATTCCTCCTGCATCCCCTAAAACACTGCATGACTCCTACCAAAGGGACTTTGCCATCACGCAGTGAGCAGGCCTGGATCCGGTCCACAGGGCCCCTGTAAATGATGTCGCACACCGTGTCCTGTGGAGAGAGGCCGTGTCACCACAGCAACAGCCAGGTTCAGAAATTCTCCAGACCGCAATACAGAAGATCGGTGCACCCTGAAGAATAAAACTCAAGATTGCAATTAACTACATTCAAACGCATTCAATTATTTTGAGTTCTTATTCTCTTTTCCCCACTTTCCTAAAAGACTACATTTCCCACAATACCCTGTACCTGCTGGTCAGTGATGTAGATCCCATGGTTCCTGGCAAAGCTGGGGTCTCCAGGCAAGGATACAACTTTCACCCCTGAGAAGCCCTCCCAGCAAATCCCTGCAGGACAATGACAGTGTAGGAGACTAGGAGCTAGGCGAGGGAAGATATATAGGGCTGGTCAAAAAAGCATTTATTTCAGTTCGCAAACAGTATCCAGGGTTGGGAATGAATGAATCACTAATTTTTCAAATACCATGGCAATATTTTGGGAACTGAACTGCATTGTAGCATTCAGGTGGAACTTACAGGGAAAAAAAACAGTCCCAGAATTTCTAGAGATAACTAAGAAAACAAAGAGTATTAAATATAATCACTGCAGCCATGCAACTAATCACTGAACCCAATCTCATGAGGGAACCCCAGAGTTATAACAGTTGCTGGTTGAGTCTGTGGGGTGAAAGCTAGAGAAATGCCCCTGAACCTGTCAGGCGGCCAGAACTGTGCTGTACAAGTTGTGGTCATATCTCTGTCTCAGTAAGTTCAGCATTATTTCCCATTCTGGCCCAGTTTGGACGATACACGACTCATGGTTCCAGTTTGCATTCGACTCCCTGTTAGAAATGCTGAAGTCCGCCTGTCAATATTTGGCTATCCATGCGCGCATGCACACTTGTGTCACCAGAGGGCGCTGTGCTCACCGGGTGTGGAGGGCATGTGGAGCAGCATGTCAGTGCTACAGACCCAGACCCCTGGGGGGGAGCCAGGAGCCACCTGCACAGAGAGGAGGAGCTCTTAGCCAGCCTCACTGCACAGTTCAGCGCAAAGGCAGTGGTGGCTGTGTCCTGTTGCGGGCGAGCGCGAGGCTGAGGTCTGACCTGGTGCGTCAGGCAGTGCAGCAGCAGGTCCAGGTTGCAGAGGGGCCCCTCCACCAGCCCCGGGGGACCCCGAGCGGGAAGCCAGCAGAACGCTCGGCCACACCCATCGAAGGGGAAGTCCCGCCCCTGAGGAGATAGACATGGTTATCTGCTTGATCCGTCCAATAACAAAAGCTCCCAATTTTCCTGCCACTCCCACTACACTCCCTCATTGGTCCAGCCCTTTGCTGCTCCTCCCTCGGTCTCTGCCCCCACACCTCTGGCCTCCAGCCCACTCACCGTGTGCAGGATAAGGATGTGAGCGTCATCAAGCACATCAGCAGTGACCACCTGCAAACACACAGAGGCAACAGAGTCACCGCCACTGCAGGACAGTCTACAATGACCCCCAGGCAAAGCATCACAGCCGGGTACTCACCGTGTGTCCGGCTTGGGCGCTCAGGTGCTCTGCAGCCACTAGCAGCGCTTTAAGAGTGGCCCCCCCACTGCCCAGCCGGTCCTGAGGGTCCGACACCGTGAGCAGCAGCGCCCCCTGTGGGATCAACCCCCGCTGCTGTCGCCACTCTAGCTCTGCAGGGCAGCAGGAGGGGGTACACATGAGAGCACAGCACCGGGGAGGGACATCACACAGAGAGAAGAGGGGAGGGAAGCTGTCAGGATCTCCGTTCAAGCGGAAGAAAAGGGCACAGACACAGATCCACAAACATGTTGGTGCCGTATAACCCTCAACCTGCTCATCCAGGCCCAGAGCGTCCCCAGTATCCTTATCATTGTTAAAAAGCGCTGTGCCACACAGCCCCCTGCCTCACCTCTCTGGAAGACATACTCGCTGTCCTTGTGCTGACAAGTCAGGACCACCACCGTCCACTGCAGCCCCTTCTGTTCCTCCATCTCCAGTGCACAGCCTGTCAGGGCAATACTGACACCTACACACTGCTACACACTCTCACACACACACACAGCACCTACACTGCTACACACTCTCACACACACACACAGCACCTACACTGCTACACACTCTCACACACAGCAACTACACTGCTACACACTCTCACACACACACACAGCACCTACACTGCTACACACTCTCACACACAGCACCTACACTGCAACACACCCTCACACACACAGCACCTACACTGCAACACACTCTCACACACACACACAGCACCTACACTGGTACACACTCTCACACACACACACAGCACCTACACTGCAACACACTCTCACACACAGCACCTACACTGCTACACACTCTCACACACAGCACCTACACTGCAACACACCCTCACACACACACAGCACCTACACTGCAACACACTCTCACACACACACACACAGCACCTACACTGGTACACACTCTCACACACAGCACCTACACTGCAACACACCCTCACACACACACAGCACCTACACTGCAACACACTCTCACACACACACACAGCACCTACACTGGTACACACTCTCACACACAGCACCTACACTGCAACACACCCTCACACACACAGCACCTACACTGCTACACACTCTCACACACACAGCACCTACACTGCTACACACTCTCACACACACACAGCACCTACACTGCAACACACCCTCACACACACAGCACCTACACTGCAACACACCCTCACACACAGCACCTACACTGCTACACACTCTCACACACAGCACCTACACTGCTACACACTCTCACACACAGCACCTACACTGCTACACACTCTCACACAGCACCTACACTGCTACACACTCTCACACACACACAGCACCTACACTGCTACACACTCTCACACACACACAGCACCTACACTGCTACACACTCTCACACACAGCACCTACACTGCTACACACCCTCACACACACAGCACCTACACTGCTACACACCCTCACACACAGCACCAACACTGCTACACACTCTCTCACACACACAGCACCTACACTGCTACACACTCTCACACAGCACCTACACTGCTACACACTCTCACACACACACAGCACCTACACTGCTACACACACACACACACAGCACCTACCCTTCTACACATTTTCACACAG